ACTAATTTTGAGGCAGGCTCTGCTGACAGGTTACGAAGAGGAGGTCAAGGAAGGTGTCAAGGATTGCCCCCGCTTAGGTTCCTAGCATGAGCCCCTGGGTGGACAGAGGTGCCATTTATCGAGATGGGAAGCCCTGGAAGAGTGTGTTTGGTGGGCGTAAAAGGCCCATCGGCCACGTCGGGGAGGTAGACGGCTGTCCAGGTCGGGAGCGCAAGAGAGCCTGGCCCTCAGTCTGTCATGCTCGCTCATTTGGAACAAAGTATGTATATGGTTTTCTTCTGTTATCTCATATGTGTGTGTGTTTTAATTTCTACGTTATCATTTACTTACTTTCTCACTCAAATAACAATTCGAGTCATCTAATAATGTTGTAGGAATCACCCTGTGCATGGCAGGCGGCCTGACACACCTCAACAGTGCCTTAATGGCACCAGTGCGTTACATTTTGGGTGAGCCATTAATTTATGGTTGAATTATATCTGAAGGTGATAGTTCAAATTCTTATATTCTGTTTAAGAAGGCAGGGAGGGGCATAATATTCTTCGAATACTTGTTCATAATAATGTGTCATGTAAGTTCAGGTAGAGTATGTATGAGATAATTTCCATCATTCCAAAAAACTGATGCTTTGGTAAAGTTATTTATTTAATCTATAGTCCCAGGTTGGATTACTCAGAATATTTTAGACAAATGTTCGTTTTCCCCTTAAATTCTACTATAGACAAGTCCCAGTACAATGTGTTAATCCACTCCACTGTTTGCTAGGCAACCTACCACACACTGTCACCTGCTTCATCTCAGCTGTTATTAACCGTCTGTGGCAGAATTGGGAACGTGGCCCCCAAGTCCGTAACTCCTCCCTATTCCCGACACCCATAGACGAGCCATATAATGACAGGAGCCCAGATACCCAAGTCACCTCCTCAAGGACAGCTGCCTAACCCACACTGGACTGTGTACTGAGCAAGAAATATACTTTGATTGGTTAAAACATTGCATTTTAGGGTTGTTAGAGCAGTTTTAGTCAGAGTAATTAATACACAACCCAATTTTCTTTCTGTAATATCTATTTTCACCATCAGAGAGCCAAACATCAATTTTTCCTCATTAAATTCACTTGCTACCATTTTGGCTTTGTTAAATATGGAATATAACTAGCTAGTAGCATTGGTATTATGATTCATTTGTCTCAATAATGACTCATTAAAACGCTTATCTGAATTAAATCATCTCAATTTATTTGATTTTCCTGAAAATTCATAATCATCAATTCTTTAGTTGTCAAGTCAGAGTGGCTTATAATATCCTTCTTAGTTGTAGATCCAGAAATTAATTTAAATCTCATGCATGTTGAGCATAATTAGAAAATGTTCAAAGCCTTTGGTAGACATGTTAAAATTTGAGATTCCCTATTGCTGCTTTGACAAAAGAAACTAGTCTAAAGAGAATTCTCTATTTTGAATTTGTTCAGGGGAATTCATGACATTTATTGCTATTCTCACCTACAGCAGAAAATAATTAAATTCTCCTACTATATGCATTGGTTGGTATTTATCAAAAAGTTTATATAAACATTAACTAAACTGTGAGGTGATATGCCTTATTATCCAAACAATTCTCTGGTATGTGATGACAATTCATAGGTGGTCAGCACTTAAAACTTTTTCCTTTTTTAAATTTTCAAAAGGTATTATTAAATTTTCTTGTTAAGGTATCACATAAATTCTTGAATCTTATGATATTTGCTTACAAAGTCTGTTCCTCCAATAATACTTTCAGCCAACTAGCACTGTCAACAATTACAGGAATTCTAAAATATCCCAATATAAGCAAGAAAGCAATGACTTGAGAAGCACAGTCTTCCAATCTCTGACAGCAGACATATGTCAGAAACGCCAGAGAGACCAAGCTTGTGTCTATGTGATTAAATGAACCAAAATTTATCTTTCCTTCACTACCTAGAAACATTGATTCAGACATTAAAAAAAAAAATTCTAGGCTGGGTGCAGTGGCTCATGCCTGTAATCCTAGCACTTTGGGAGGCAGAGGTGGGAGCATAACTTGAGGTCAGGAGTTTGAGGCCAGCCTGAGCAACATAGTGAGACCCCGTTTCTACAAAAAAAATAGAAAAATCAGCTGGGCGTGGTGGTGCACACCTGTAGTCCCAGCTATTCAGGAGGCTGAGGCAGGAGGATCACTTGGGGCCAGGAGTTGAAGGTTGCAACGAGCTATGACCGTGCCACTGCACCCTAGACTGGGCAACAGAGTGAGACCCTGTCTCAAAAGAGAAAAAGAAAAAAACAATTTCTAGAGGTTGCTCTTTCAAACAAACAAAAACCAAGTTTGTAAAAAATGAGTAGAAAATCAAACACTGTGAGTGTAAACATATAATAGATATTTTTAATATGTGTCCCTTAACACATGAGGCATAAACTATTAGGCATTATTAATAGTCATTTATACATTTGTCTCGTTTGACAAAACAGCATAGGTTCTAATCAGACTCTGGGACATAGTCAGTCAGTCAAAGGCACCTGAACGACTGCTGCCATCTCAATCAGCCTCCACGGGTTAACACAACTGATGTATGCCCAAAACCTCAGAGCAGACGAAGCTCACCAGGGTCTTGTCCCAATATTACATTCTATAAATCTGATAAGCTAAACACTGGTGTTCACCTGCAGGCAGGCACTGTGACACACCGAATTTTAGGAGTTCAATTTTGCATAGGGAACCAAGTTATTTTCTTACAACTCTTTTCTACAAAACTTATTTTTTTCCATTCTAATTAAATCCAGATTGAACTCTTTCAGTGTCACTAACTTTGAGGTAGCAGATCACCCTCATACCTATATACATTGTTTTACCCTCAGCCCTACCTACTGAAGAAAATGAGTAGAAATAAACAGTCCATTAAGATATAAAGCAACACCCAGCTCCATGCAACTGTGGTGAGACAGATTGATCATCCAATTATTTCTGTGGGTCATTTTAAAATTTGAAATTTCTCTCCCCTACCTCTTTATACCTACGAATTTACATGACGAGATAGACAATACTTCTGTTTTGTAAATATATACAGGATTTTAAATTTTAAATAGGAGGAAAAAGTAACAAAGAATTAAAAAACCAAGTAAGAAGAGGGATGAGAAACTGGCTATTTAAACCAGGCAACTCATAAAAACACTATGAAGTAAACACCGTTTCTCCTCATTGTACAAATGAGGAAATTAAGGCTCAGAGCAGTGAACCCACCCAGGGTCACCAAAGTAGTAGCTGGTACACCTGGGATTTGAACCCAAGTATATCTCACTCCAGGGTCCATGCTCTTTTGTCATGAGGCTACTGCACCTGTGTAAACTGAATGCGCAGTCAGAATTGTTAGGGAAAGAACCTACACATTATGTAACCGTCTCAGCTCCACTTTGCTGTTCCTGTTGATGATTCTCCTATCCTGTTTTTATATTTTAACCCTTGCTTTCCATGCTCCTTAATCACACTCTGCTGTTGTGACATCTTTTTACTTCTTCTATTCCATTTTCTTCTACTTTCCCAGTTTTTAAAGTAGCACAAAAATTGTTTTAAATGTATGGTATTAATAGAAGCTTAAAACTTGAATTTAATTTAAATGATGCATGGATAATTCTCAAACTTTTTAAAAATTAACGACTTTAAAAATTGAAACTCCCCTCAATGAGTTTCCAGAAATGTGTTCTAAAAACTTCCCTGGTATTGATTTTTGTAAGAATCTACAGTGAGGCAAGCTGCGCACAAGCAGAGGCAGCCCCATTGTTCGGTTCCCAGCAACAGCTATTTATATGTGTGTCATTTGTTTCCATCTAGGAGTTTTTTTTCAACCCATACCCAAAAGTAGTTCAACTCCAGCAAATCGAACTATTGTTTCTTCTTCTTATCTTTTAAATCTGTAACAATCTACCATCACATTCTCACATTCGAAATGTCTGAGAGGAAAAAAAAGGAGGAATATCCCTTTGGAAGAAGCCCAAAGTGCTGCTCAGGCTAACTCTGCATTCACTCTCTGTTCTTTATAAGATGAGCCAGAGCAAGTGGGGAGGTGTGGGGGCGGCGGATAGCAGGAGCTCAAAGCAGGGAGAAGGAAAAAGGGATATTGCAGGGGTTTTGCCTCCCAAAGAGGACTAGAAAATCAATTTTCAAATTAAACAAGCATTGGGAAGGGTGACCCTCAAGTCAAATTTAGGAAAAACTTATTTTCTCTAGACCCTGAATTTCTTCAACCATGGTCCTTGATCTCCAGCTGCTACAGTAAAGCCAGCTGTGCACTGGTTAGCCTCACTTCAGTGTGCCTGGACAGAGGGCAGCATTACCCATACCTCTGGCCATTTCCTTAGATCAATCACTGAGGTACCTGCACAGCGTCACTAGCAGTAATAATTGACAATATTCTCAAGCTTATTCTTTGCTTGCTTTGTTAAAAAAACAAAGCTATGCAATGTGCTTTTTAAAACAAAAATGACGCCATGCAATGCATCATTTTAGGATTTAATTAAGAAAGCTAGCCACTTTTTTGGTTTTAAATAAAACATAACATAAACATCTTAATTGAAAAAAATGAATTTTCCTGGAATTATGTGTTTGTAAACCCCAAAGCAGCAGTGCTCTGACTAATACTGAAAAGGAAAGGGCCTCTCCAAAAAGGCATAGGGGGCCAAAAAAAAAAAAAAAAAATTGGAAAGAATACACAACATGAACCTGGAAAGATTTTACCAAAATGAGGACTGGTTTCATAAGTCCCCTCACCATATTAATTACTGCAAAATCCCTACAGTTCTACCAGCTACGGATCTTTAGCAACAGCTACCAAGAACAGCATTAAGCTTTCATTTCAAAGAACTCAGCCCGTGGAAGCTACATGAGCGAATAGAGAGCAGACACACGCATGGTAAGCAGACACAGACGCTCAGCCTGGCTGATGGGAATATGAATTTGGCAGTTTTGCCCCTGTCCGCAGACAGACTGACCTTCCTTGAGACTTTTCTGGTTGCTCCCCTCAAGGCATTCCTTTTCTTTTAATGGTTCAAAATCCCCAGCAGTTAAAATCTCTGGGAAGCCCTGTTGCTGCTTCTTGGAGCTATCGATCATGGTGAGAGGCTTCTGGAGACAGGCAGCATCAAGCAGGAGAAAAGCTTAATTTGCAGAACAGGAGAGAGCGGTGCTCAGAACACTGGTCCCTGGGTCCTTGGTTGCGCCCCACAATACCCCAATCACTGGGCAATTATGTCTTTAAGCAGCTGAAGGCAGCCATTACCCTTTAGTTCCCAGCTTGACCTGCAAATACACTCATGCCGCTGGAAGCCCTTAACTCTCTCCCACGTCGGGAGGCAGAGCCACACAGGCACGATTCTAAAATCCCACCCCTTTTCCCAGCCAGCCCCCTTCCCCTTGCCATTCCAGCTTCCCCCGCACTGGATACTTCACTCTGCAGTTTGACGGTCCGAATCATCTGACAAACACTGAGTCAAGCAGTTAAAAATAAATCCTCGAGCTGTTAAAAGAGAAGACTTTGCTGATACCTAAGACGACAAACTGCTGCCTGTGGTCTCTCTTCGGCTCTCTCTAAACACAGCCACAGGCTGCGGAAATACTTTATATCGGCCAGACAAGCAAATTCATTACTCATTAAGTTCTCCAGCTAAACAAACGGCAGTCTAGGGCATCTGAAGGAAGCGGCTCTTATCTCAGCAGAGGCACCGCACTGAATAAACATGCTACTAGCAGATCTGGTGAAAACAGTGTCCACTCACTACCAAAGTTCTTCTGTGGTGTGCTTTTTGCTGCATATGGCTCTTCCTGGCAAAGCCAGTGCTCTTTGTAATAGGAAAATGTACTGTGATTGCAGCTTTCTTCCTTCGGCAGTTCAGACCTGAGCAGCAGTTTTCCTTTGTACCACTAGTCGGCTGAGAGTTAACATCGCCATGATTTTTTTTAAGGAAAATCTCCTCCCCTGTATTAAAAGCAGCGACACTGAGAGCTTCTATCTCATGACAGATTCAACCAGCGACTAGCCCAAGTTTGATTTCGCATGAGCTATCAAGGATGGGCACCTCTCCGGCAAGCCACAGGCTGCAAAGTCACCAAAGCCCAAACAGGCTGCTGTTTACAACATATAAGGGACACTGCTGGAAGGAAATCTCTAGGTATGGTAATTCCAGGCAAATGTGGAGACAAGCCCATTTGCATATACACCAAATATATATCTGTAGACAAAACAATCTAATTGTTTAATGGTTCAAAGTATGCTCCTTTGCAACGAGCTCCCATAAAACTCACGAGAGGCTGTAAGAGCAGTAGACAGCGAGCCCTGTTCCATGAGGGATCCATTTTGTTCACTTTTTTACAATCGACATCTAGCAGAGTGCCTGGAATATTAGGAGTTCCCAATAAATACTTGTTGTGTGATTGAGTGAATGAATGAAAGCAGAAGAAAGTGCATCAGGAAAACTTCTTTGGATAATACTTAGAGTTCTAAAGAAGTCCTAGACAATGATTAAGAGCTACTAATTTTAGGCCGGGCGCGGTGGCTCATGCCTGTAATCCTAGCACTCTGGGAGGCCGAGGTGGGCGCATCGTTCTGAGCTCAGGAGTTCGAGACCAGCCTGAGCAAGAGCGAGACCCCGTCTCTACCAAAAAATGGAAAGAAATTAATTGGACAGCTAAAAATATATGTAGAAAAAATAAGCCGGGCATGGTGGCGCGTGCCTGTGGTCCCAGCTACTCGGGAGGCTGAGACAGGAGGATTGCTTGAGCCCAGGAGTTTGAGGTTGCTGTGAGCTAGGCTGAGGCCACGGCACTGGCCCCAGGCAAGAAAGTGAGACTCTGTCTCAAAAAAAAAAAAAAAAGAGCTACTAATTTTAGATGAAATATTCTCTTACAGGAAGCACATTTTTTTCTTTAAAACAACATAAACAGATACATTTTAATTATGCACCTGATGTGACCCTCCTGTGGGATAAAGAAAGGCTTACATTTTTACTACCAAAAAAAATCAATATTCTTTTCATAACTGAAACACAGATGGGACTGGATGAAGCACTCTGTCCTTTGTCCATGGTTCCAAGGCTGGTACCCACTAAACCTGCATTGTTCTAGAAAGATGGCTGTTCACTCTTCTCCAGCATCTCACAAGACATGTTTCTTGTCAACTGAGATTCCTTCTGAAAGAATTTAAGCTCACCCTTGGCAGTCCAAACCTCTGCAGGAACAAACAGTGACGAGCTTATCACACTTCTCAAAAATGCCCTCAAACATTCTGCTACTATCTCTGATCCGAAGGCCTGTATTCTTTTAAATAGACTACTCCTGTGCTCTTAAAGAAATAATAAAAATAACCATCATTTTTTTTGAGGACATTCTTTAGGCTACTCACTCAATTAGATGTTTTGCCAAGTTTATCTCACTTAACCTCCAACAATCCTTGGGATCACTATGATTATTTGTTCCTCATCGACATTTTACAGATCAAGACCAAAGTCACAAAGCTTGTAAGTGGCAGGTCTGGAATTTAACCAAAGCCCAAGTCTGTCTATGGCCTTGCACTGCCTGTTGTCTTCTAGAATATGCTCCACATCCAGGCTTTAGTTTGATCTCGAGACAGGTTTAACAGCAGAAGCCATAACTTTTATAGCCTCCCAGTAATTCTACTCCTGATGAGAGAAAAGAGAGCCAACAAAATCACACTAAAATGATTTTATGAAAGCATTTTCACTTTTCATGAAATAATAACAACAGTAGCCAACTTTACTTGGTGCTTACTATGTGCCACAGTCTAAGTGTTTTTTTATGTATTATCTCATTTACTCTGTTGACAGACTTGTGAGTTCAACATTATTATCCTGATTTACAGATGGGAAAACGGAGGCTGAGAAAAATCAAATACTTTCTCAGAGGCGGCACATCTTACAAGTGACAGCCAGGATTCCAAAGCAGGCAGTGTGACTACATTCTTAATTACTTCGCAAAAAGAAAAACAATCATTTCACTTCAGGAAATTAAGGGGGGGAGGGACAACAACAACAAAAACATAAACCCTAATATTGTCTTTTTCAGGACGTTGCTTTAAAATCCTGAAAAATGCCCAACTGTTTTTAGGCAATAAGTGTAGGAACCCTACTAACATACACAACTACGCCAGCCACTCTGAAAGTCTTTACTGGCTCTGTGTGTATGTATTCAGTGTGTGTTAAATGTGTTTTTTAAAAGTTCTCTTTTAAGGAGCCTCCATCTGCTTATGATTTTTCTATCTGATAAGTATCAAAAATCCCAATAAGGAAACACATTGTCCTGTTGCGGGTTTATACCAGAAGTCTTATCTTTGCAGTTTTGAAAGAAAATAATTTCTCTAGTGGTGAATGTACCTGAAAGAACAGTTATTTTGCTATTAAAAATGTTTGAAATAATTTCAAATTCAGAGCATTTTCCTCCCACATCACCTGTGAATAGGGTCTAACATGATACCTCTTTACCCTAAGTACCCAAATTCCTACAAACAAGGCTATTCTCCTACAGAACCACAATATGAACATCAACATCCAGAAATTAACACTGACATGTCACTACCATTTAACCCACAGACTCCATTTAAGTTCCACCAATGGTCCCAACAATATCCTTTACAGTGAAAGGATCCAAACAAGGATTACACATGGTACTGAGTTACCACGTCTCTTTAGTTTTCTTCCATCTCAAACGATCCCTCAGTCTTTCTTCACTTTTCTTTCCTTGAATTTTGAAGATTACAAGCTAGTTATTTTACAGCAATTAGCGCTGTAAAATATTTTGTGGAGAGGTACTTTGAGACCAATCCACTGATGTACTTGGCTGAATTATTTATTACTATGATGGTTGCCAAATGGTGATTCTGAAAATTCCCACATTCCTTCTACATTTATTAGTGGCACATCCTATTGTAATAAAAAGAATTCTCTTTACACGGTTTATTTTACCTATTTATATCAGCATGGGCTCATGGGTTATAACTTGTTATTATCCTTAGTTATTCTGATGCCCAAATTATCCCAGATGTGGCTGGTAGGGACTTTCACAGTTTCTTATTGTCGTGACACTATCGTTCTTTGAGCGCTTTCTTACTTTCTGGCACAAAATGTCTCAGGCTTATCTTGTGCTCGCTGCTATTGGGTGTCTCTGTTTCCAGGCCTCTGTAGACAGACCTGGGGAATGTGTCTGGGTTCACACGCACCGTACACAGATTTACATCTCTCCATATGAAGAGATGTAAATATGCGTCTGTATTTATTTACGTATATTAAGAACCCTGAGTTCACCCCAATGCCTCCAAATACAACCCAGTGCCCACAGGTTCATTCTCACGTTCTCTTTTCTACATCTGTAGCTCCCTTCTCCTACAGGGGGAAACTTGTCTCCCATGGTCTTTGCCCCTCCACCCGTGGACACAGTCACCCTGTACACCCACCACTGCCACTGCTGTGTCCAAACCCTGTGCAGATGCCTCCTCACCCCACACTGGCCCACTGCGCCCTCTCCCAAAGGCCAGCTGCCTTGCTCAGCCCCACCGTGTCTTTTGGATTGAATCAGGGAGGGAGCGAGGGAGGGGACTGGCATTATCTCTCAGTGAGAGAAGCCCACAGTCGTCACATGAACTGCTTCCCAGTAGGTTTGTCCTTGTTCCTTACTGCATGTGCTACATCGTCTTCACTGTCATTTGGCTCTACTGTCACGAGTGGCATTTAACTTCAAATGATATGTGATTAAAGCCACTTCTGCTATGATAAATCTGCTTCCACAGTGTTCGTGTGTACGCAAACTCAAACGAGTTGTTTTAGTATGAAACAGACCATAAATCAAATCAATTTTCCCACCACCCCAAGCACAGATACTCAGTAAGTGTGAGAAAAACTGTATGGCTTAGAGACTTGGAACAATCCAAGAAAGCCTTTAGGGAATTAGAACACAAACAAACGCAGCTCAAGAGACTTACAGAAAAACTTGGCAGAGTGAGTAAATGCTTACAAAACTGCTGATAAAAAGGTTACTGCTGGGATGATGCTGTGCTTCAGCAAAAACCTGAGAATATTACCAACTGGGTAATGATCCATCAATGTAAAAACATTCAAAAGTAATGAATAAAGCGATTAGTAACAAATGCAAAGAGATTGCTAAATACTGAGGCATATTTCTCTGGTGGCATTCTTGACATGGAGATTGAGAGAAGATGACCTTTTTTCCATCTTCCACGGCTCAGTATTTGGTAACAGATACTCAGTAGCTGGTCGCTGACGTGAATAAGGGTCACACAGGCTCAGCCGCAGTATTATAAAATCAACACAGACAACTACATTGGATGCATTTAGGAGGAAAAAAAAATCTCCATCTAGGTTTCACCTAAAATATTTCTCTAAGGCTACCATATTTTTAGTAAGATACATATTTGATCCTTATTTTTCTCCTTTGTAACATGATAAACACCACTGTAAAATACCGTATCTTTACGTCATTACTAAATGGTCATGGTAAATCTTTTTTTTTTTTTTTTTTATGTGCTCACATTTATTAAAATTGTCCACATTACTCATAGGAATAAGCTTCATAAAATTTACATACTGAATACAGTAAAAATCAGTTCTAATGAAGATTTAGCTGTCTTCCTAAATAAAAATTTCTGTGTTTGAGGTATCACTTTAAGACATGCCAATATGGCACAACCCAGGAGTCTATCCTAAAAATCCTGACCAATACAGCATCATCTCTGCAAGACTTACTAGTAGGCTGAACTATACTAGTCTCTCTAAACAAGGAAGAAATATTTAATTGTTACAAAAACAAAGGGGGCAGATACTAAAAACTCTGCATTTCAGAAAACAGTGAAACTTTGTTATAAATATTTTCATTATCATCTTCTTGCAGACACCATTCATTTAAAAAGTCCTAGTCAAGACCAATAAAGCAGCTTCGTCTCCTGATATTAAAAAAAGCCTAGCAGTTTAAAAACAATAGTAAAGAATTTCATTATCTTTGTACATTACATTTTAGTACATAAAGCTATTAAATTTTTCAGTGTCAAGAGCAAAGCATTACCCCCTACCTAGCTTCATCAATGGAAGGTGGACACCTGATTTAGCAATACTTACTAACAGCTATGTAGATTACCTGTGTTTACTGTAGTAATGCCATTTTACTATCAATTTATGAAGTCATAACACTAGCCAAATACACAGAGACAAATGCCAAAAATGATGTGTTTTGTATGTACACACACCTTGGGGCATGACTATCAAGTAATAAGACTGATTTAATACATTATAGTCATAGCACATTAAAAATGTATTGCCAGAGGGATAATAGTCCCACATATGAAAAATGTCTATATGGAAAAGGCTGTGATTTATTGCAAAGCAGAATATACAGCAAATACCAAGGAAGGGCACATAACTTTTAAAAACAAATTTTTAAATTTAATGGCTTAAGCCAAAGTCTCAGTTACTTTTTGGAGAATTCCGAACTATTAGGGGTAGAAGAATGTTTTTCCTTTTTCCTCTTCTTTTTTTCCTTTTTGTGATGTTTCCCCTTTCTTGATTTACTCTTTTTTTCTTTTCTTTCTTCTGGTATTTTTGTTTCTTTTGTTTTGAAGTATCTTCTTCATTGGAACTGGATGAATAAGACCTTTTCCTTTTCTTTTTCAATTTGATTTTCTCTTTGCTTTTTTCTTTTTTCTTCTCCTCTTCTTCATTTATTCTTTTTTCCTGTAATGCCTGAAATTTATTCAGTTCTTCATTCTCTTCATCACTATCTTCACTGCTTGTACTGCTGACATCCAAAACTATGTCCCTTTTGGGGTCTACTCGGAGAAAATTGCGGCATTCAAAAGTCAGGTGACCAGGGTAGCCACATTTTTTACAGCCTGCTCTAACATTGTCCTTGTTGCAACCTGGGACTGCCATGACGGTGGTAAGAGAGGTCGCTGGAGCCTTCGCCTTTCGAGAACGCGTTTGCTTCCTCGGTTATGGTAAATCTTAACAGTTAATTTAAAATACGTTTTTTATAAAAAAGGACAATTAAAGAGTGATATCTCTGCAATCAGCATGCCTTAAAAGTCCTTTATTGTTATCGCTTTTTAAATATATATTGAAGAAGTCCTTCATTTTGTCACTTTAAAAATATATATTGAACATACAGTATTTCAGATGTAAACAGAGTAACAAATTAGTCCCTATGGAAACTACTGTTTCATGAGGAAGGACAGATTTTTCTGACATTTCTCAGGTAATGAAATTTTGAAGGAAAGCATCAGCGAGTTTGCAGTGAGGTTGTGCAGCACAGCTAAACACGACAACAGGGCGAACAGCTCAGTCGCTTGGTTTGTGACTTGTGCTACTGCCTCTCATCCTGGAGCAGATGGGCCAGGAAATGGGGCACTGTCCTCTCAGGTCCACTTCGCCTTCTTTGAGGATGTGAATGGCAACTAAGGCCGGGCTTTCTGGGATTAGAATTTTACCATTAACGGTTTGCTGATTAACCTTGCTTAAACTGAGAGAATGTCACGTGGAATGGGGGCATGGCAGCATGAGAAGATGCCACCGTGTGCAGCTGTCCTCAGGCAGGTCTTCACGTCACTGCGGCAGCACTCGACTGGAACCTTCTGACTGCACTTGAGGAAGACCGCCACCAGTCTCCTCCTGCTCACGTCATTAGCGCACATAACCAAGGGATGGCAAACTATATAGTACTTTAACAGCTTGAAAAAAGTCATTCAAATCCTTTCTCTATTTCTAAGCTTTATAGTTACTTATAGAAACTATAACTGGCTGGAACTGGCTAGAAAATGTACAACAAAGAGCTTCCCTCAGGTTATCCGATCAGTCTTCTTCAAATTCTGAGATGACTCCCCCAGTTACGGAATGTAAGAATGAAATGACTAGAGCTTGGAAGGTTTAGCATCAATGCAAGGGGTGAGGGAAAAGTAAAGAGAGTCAAATCCCAGCAAAGACTGGAAGGTACATCATTAAGTTACGATCGGCCCGCTGTTGAGGTCAGTAGTTGTACTGACAAGAAAACTATGGCAGTGTTTCTCAGCCTTTTTTACATTATGGCCTGCCTGCCTCTCTTTTAAATAATTTTTTTCCTAATCGCATTTCATGAAATTTTAATACCACAAATTTACTATATGTTTATATACTGTTACGTATATCTGTACCTTATACATACATAAAAAGAACATTTTTTCCCATCTCTCAAGAACCAATTTTCACCCCATTTAGAAAGCTTAACCTATAAGAGGAAAAGTCAACGTTTCCTATTTTGTTAAGAAAAAAATAGTATGGGCTGGGCACGGTGGCTCAAACCTGTAATCCTAACACTCTGGGAGGCTGAGGCAGGAGGATTGCTTTAGCTCAAGAGTTCGAGACCAGCCTGAGCAAGAGCGAGGATCCTGTCTCTACTAAAAATAGAAAAAATTAGCTGGGCGTGGTGGTGCACGCCTGTAGTCCCAGCTACTCAGGACACTGAGGCAGGAGAACTGCTTGAACCCAGGAGTCTGACAGCACTGTACTCTAGCCCAGGTGACAGAGCAAGACTCTGTCTCAAAAAAAGAGTAGAAGTAGGATAATAAGAGTGAACTGTGTGCAGGAAACACACAATAAGAAAATAGCAAATGCTCACCATCCGTAATAATGATATTTGGGTCATAAATAAATTTAGTATATTTTTTGAGGATCTTTTGATCCTCAGCAGCTGAGGTGTGGGGTGACATGTATTGATATTTATGTTTTATCTAAAAAAAAAAAAAAAGAAACTGAAGTTCAGATAAGAAATGATGTTTTCAAGTCACTCTGCTGGTGAGCCCAAATCTTTAATCCCAGTCTTCTGATAACACCACTTTTCACCAAAAGCAAAAGCCTGTATGTATTTTTTTCCTTTTTACTAACTCTACATGTGATTTTCAAAGGTATGTATTAAGAAAAATTGGTTATTTTAGGAGGACGATAACATCACAGACTGCCTTGTCTACAGAAATGCAATAACAACAATAGCTATTTTCTATGATTATAGAAATTAGGAAACAATGCATATCAAATACCCATCACAGGCATAAGGGGCACACCCCTTGCCCCATGGATTTGGAACTCATTTCTGGAAGGATCTCCCTTTTCTGTTATCCCCCATGGCTGTGTGTTTGCTAGGTTTAGAGCGTCTCTGGCAAGACATACATGCATATATGTAAACGCAGACCTGCACACTAGCCATAACACCATACACACATTTTACATCTTCCAACCACAGCCCCCAAGGTCACAGCCCAGGTGCAGATAAAGTTAACCATGTTTTTGGTTTGGTACTTAATATCTTCTCGTGTGTTCCTACTGCTTGAGATTTCATTTATTAGCTTAAAATTTAAATTTGTTAAACATGCAGAAAGCCCTGCTGATACTTTTTCACTTAACTGGAATAATGAATAGAAAAACTGGTTTAGGTAGTATGAGACACACTGGGACTAAGAAATTGATATTTGAAAGACTTTTACTTTAATGCTATTTAGTCACCTCATCGATACAAATACATCTAAGATGTCATTCAAAACAACTCACTGAAGGTCAATGTGTACTTACCAAGAGCATTCTATGCACTGGGGACCACGTTAGGTGTGTGGGACACAGTCTCTGTTCCCCAAGGAATATGGTCTAGAGTTTTTAACAATTTCTGACTGCTACCTTTCTCCTCTTTCCATTCTTTTACTCTTATTAGAATGCTCTTTATACCAGTGTTTCTGTAACTATCCGTGGTTAGGGGGAATATTTTAAAATTTCCAATCTGCTGTGGACCAAGATGTGGTCCCCCTGTGCATGACTGGTAGGGTCATGTTATAATAGTTTGGCAACATCCAGACTCCTCTGTACTCTGTTCAACAAGAGGAGTCCACAAATCATGCCCCTGAGTGTTTTACCAGTGTCATACTGCCATAAAAGTTTCTAAACACTGTTTCTCAAGTTACCTCACAGGGGACTGTTCACACCCTAGTTGCATTTGTCTCCCTTAGTTATCTTTAGATCTAGGATAAACTGTTTCAACCACCCTAAATTCTTTCAACGTCTTGATATTCTACCATTGCACCTTGCCTATCTGCCCCTAAATGACTAATCATGGTCAAGCAGTCAACCATAAGGTCTGGGAATTGGGTAGAACACTAGAACATAGATCTCAGGAGTCCAAAGATGTGTTCTTGAGTGTTCATGAATTCTTTTTAAGAAAATGCAAACATTTTATAATCAAGTGCTGTCATACATAGCAATGAAAAATAAAGAAAAGTCAAATGTTTTCTGGCGGGGGGAGACAGAGTCTCTGTCACCCTGGGTAGAATGTAGTGGCATCATCATAGCTCACAGCAGTCTCAAACTCCTGGGCTCAAGCGATTCTCCTGCCTCAGCCTCCCGGGTAGCTGGGACTACAGGGACAAGCCACGACGCCCGGATAATTTTTGTATTTTTAGTAGAGACGGGGTCTTGCTCTTGCTCAGGCTGGTCGCAAACTCCTGACCTCAAGCAATCCTTCCACCTTGGCCTCCCAGAGTGCTAGGATTACAGGCGTGAGCCACCGCGCTCAGCCGAAAGTCAAACATTGTGATGATGACATATTCAAGCCTAGAGAAGGCAAAATGATACCCCACCTCCAGTAGTTTGCATAGAGAAAAGGGATAGGAGGAATGAGTCATCATGGCATATGGTAGTACAGACGCTGAGCCTGTGCTAGGCAGTGAGTACCTTTGTCAGGTGTCAAGCAGCAATCACATTCATATAAAAATGCATCCTGTCACAGTAAGTTAATACTGATTTGAATTTCATTAGCATTGTGGATTTCTGTAATTAACATGTAAAGTGTTTTGGTTTTGTAGTTGTGTTAAGTGCTACTAAGCACCAAGGAGTTTATACTTCATTTACGATTGCACATAATCCAGCAACATTAAACTAATAAAAACCGAGTCATCTGCTAATTGTTTTTAAAAGGTTTGCACATTACTTAAGTTTGTGAAACCCTACTTCACTGTATAACTCAAATGGAGAGAGGAGATCCATTTAATCTACTGCTTGGCTTCTACAACATTATCTTGAGGTAGAAATTAAACATTTGCCTTTGTTTACCTATCTGACTGGGTGTCCAATTTTACCATTTTGGGAGTCAGGACAAAGGCAGAGATAACCAAAATGCGTAGCCTGAGAAATTAAAGAGCCAAGATAACTATCCAAATGCAGCATAAAGTCATGTCATGCCCTCATATAAGCTCCAAAGTGTTTCCTTTGTCCCTTATTGACTACTTTGAATCACCTGCACCTCTGTTCCAAAGCATTTTCATTCTCCTCAAGATCACCCTACACTACCTCCCTCATATCTTTCTTAGGATGTAACTTGGACCCCTAGATTCACAAACAATATTGAGGTCTTCAGATATAAACTCATTTTCACCTTCCTTTCCCCTCCCATTCTTGCTTTAGTCTTTGAGGAAGAAGTAATCTTTTTTCTTGCCATAGGCAATCCAGACAATTTGTTTAGGACTATAATCCCTTCTGCCTACTTACAAAACTGTGATCGATAAATTATACTTCTCCACTAGGATTTTTCATGCCTACCAAGATATCTGCCTTTCCCCTTATACTCTTCTCTTCTCTAATCTAAAATTCTGACTCCCCATTTCTATACTCTCTCCCTCATAATCTCAAACCTTGCACTAGCATCCACTATCGACTCACCCACCAAGGCACAGATACACACACCCAACCTCCAGATCATGTACTTCTTGCTTTCTAAATGAGTTTTCTTTCTGGAGGTAAGATACCCTCAATTTTAAGATTATATGCTATACTCAGGACTAAATCATCGAATTTTATAAGACAGGCTTTGCTTCACTTTTGTGGAAAAACAACAGATAAAATTAAAACACAGAAAACACAATGGCAAGTAATGGGCTAGCCTAGATCTCAGGTTGGTCCATCTCTGAACAATGCA